TTAAAAATAATGTATCGTTTTCAATGTTTAAATGATCCATATTGATTTCTTATTTTGGGTGAGAACATGTCAAAATATTCCTGTAAATTAATCCTAGTTTTTCCTCATGATGTCTATATGTTACATACAGTAAGATATACATGGATCATGAGGTCGTTCCTACATATATATATATATGTTTGTTTGTATGTGTTATAGGTACAGTGTATGGGAGCCTCAGTGTGTTGACATGTCTGAGTGTGTATCAGTCTCGGCTGTATCAGTATCAGAGCGACGAGTCCTACTGGAAGGAGGTCACATCCAGGCCATTGTATTGGATGAACATCGACTGGCTTTCAGTATGAACCCTTTACAGTATTGACATTATTTTTATTCTAGCTGCGCCCCGCGGTTTTACCCGCGGACTTCCGGGATTTTTGGGATTTCCGGGATGTAAAGTAGCCTATGTGTTATTCCTGGACGTCAGCTTCCTGTATACAAAATTTTATCAAAATCGGTTCAACCGTTTGAGCGTGAAGAAGTAACAAACATACACAAACACTCACAAACTTTCGCAATTATAATATTAGTAGGATTAATGAGATCTAAGACTTCCTCGAGTATTCATTTAAATGAAATACTTCTAGTCTGCCCGTGATCATGGTTGCTGTAAAGTAACCGAAACATTCTTTTCATTTATTTTTATATTGTTTGAAATGATTACTATGAAATTTTTATATAGACGACGTTTAAATTTAAAGTTCATAGTAGGATAATGTTAATCTGGTGCACACTATCAACACAGCAAGATTCAGTGTGTTGCTATAGTAACTTTTTGGACAGATTAACTTATAGAATAATACAGAGCACTTTTAAGACATTTTTTTTTTGTATAAGACAATAAATGAACGATTTTATTATAACAGGATTGATTTAATGTTCTAAGCGCTATTTGGTTGTCTTTTCATCGATCGCTATATTGTTAATTACTTACATGGAATATTAAATGGAATGTACTATTTACTTTGAATAGATTCGGCGTTACGTAGCGGGGACTTAAAGGATTGTGCTCAATACTTGGACGCTGTGTCGAGGTCTGCGGACGTCGGGTCATTGTGGTGTCAACTGGCTGAACAGGCGCTAACAGCTTTTATTTTTATTTAATAACATTTGTTAGATTCAAATTATTTTGTACAAAAGAATCCCGCAATAGATCTCAAGTGTAAAGTCTGAACTGAATTTCGGATGTGGTAGGAGTTTAATATCACCAAGTTCTTTGATCGTATTCCGCGTTACTTTCGACACTTATGGTTTAGAATTGTCTTGAAAAAAAAAAAACCGGTTCCGGTGACATGAATATTTCTTCAACAAAACCTCATACATTCGCATCACCTGTCCACTATTTTATCAAAACCTAGTCGTTCATCAACAAACAAACAGAAAATTATTCAAAGAAAGTAAAATTACTGTACTGTTTGTAGAGCTAGAGATAAATTTAAGAAGTTCCAACATATTTAAATGGATGCGTTGAAATTTTTACATATGAATCGACATTACCTATGAGCGACCATGTATATATGATAGAAATAAAGATTGTCCAATGGTTTTAGAATAACTACTTCAATTTATTATTGGTTTAATTACATTAATGTTAGGTTCAAGTAGATTGGACCACCCTGATACTGAAAAACAGTTATCTTTGGTTAATTGTTAGCCATTCAGTTGTGGTGGTATATTCCTTACTGCTCAAATTATAGAAAGGCTAATATATATATATTATAATATTTAAACGTTTTAGTATCTCATAACAGATATATTTTTTTCAGTTGGCGACGAAATGCTATAAAGCAGTGGGTGATGAAGCTAGAACATTTTATCTAGAGAAAACTTTCGAGTTGGCTTCAACCAAAGGAGACGGGAATATTGATGAAGGTATTTTTTGCATTTAAACGTTTCGGGAACACCTCAAATATGTTTCTTTAAGTACGCACTTATTGTATTAATAGTATTTATTTTATTAATCGTGATTATAATATAATGCATAGGTTTAAAGAGTCCCGAGGTTCGTGCACGTCTAGCAATATTTGTGGGGGACTTAACCACCGCCGAAGAATACTACGTACGTGGAGCCGCTCAGCCAGAATTGGCCATTAATATGTATAAGCAGTTCTATAGATGGGCAGATGCCATCGCCCTCGCTGAAAAAGTCGATAGACAAGCGGTGACATCACTCAGGCAGCAATACATGGACTATCTCACGTCAACAGGTGCAAAAATTATAACTGTTCAGAATATAATTTAAGATTGACAAAAATTTTCCGCGCTGCGAAAAAATATTAATAAAATCTTATATATAATCTTCGTTAGAATAACACTGAGCTCCTGCAGGCTGTACACGGTCAACTAGTACAGGTGAAGGATGCATTATCAGATACACAAAAAAAATAGGGAAGGAAATGGATCCATTATCAGATAGCTAAATAAAAATGCTACTGAAGTATGAACCCATTTGTGGGAATACCGCTTGTTGGTCTCACTAAGGATAGTCTTGTTGTAGTAATGAAAGATCCTGCTCAATTCGTTGTAGGTCTTAATACTTACGTAAATGACCAATTAGAATTTGTTTTTGATTTAGTATTATTGATTATACTATTGAAGAGATAATGTAAGTGTGAATGATGCAAGTTAAAGACGAGGGTTATGCATTTAACTAAAAAAGAATAGCAGAAGTATATTTTTTAATATAACTGTCTCAAACATTAATATTTATTCTTATACTGTAACTCCTGCATATTACTATACATTTTAAAAAGTTAAGATTCACTTATTAGAGACATAGATCATGAACTTTACAATTTGTTTCCTTTGTTGGAGGAATGGTGGGAAATGGCTGGTGAAATATTCGAGCGTAAAGGTGATATCAGAACTATTCTAGAGGCAACAACTACGCAAGAGCCGTTCAACTAGCAAGAGAAGTTAGCACTATCTATTTGAAACTTTTGTTTTTAATTTTTATTATATCATTTTTTGTTCTTCAGGCCTGTCCCGGTGAAGTGACCAGGTTGGAAGGGGAGTGGGGCGCGTGGCTTGTATCATCGCGACAGGCGGGCGCCGCTGTACCTCATCTCAGAGAGGCTGCTCGAACCGTTGATGCTCTCACTGCGGCTCTGAAGGCACATCATTATAAAAAAGCTCTTCAAATTGTACAGGTATTATTAATAATAACTGGTTACTGAGCTTTGCTGGGTATTTAGGAATTATTAGTACATATTTTGGTTTTTTGTTTTTAATTTCGTTTAGGCATTTTTTATTCAACACGTTAAGAAGACAGAAAACAATATAAATCAACAATTAATTTCTTAGTCTAACCTTAAAACAAACATTCGTTGACTTCCTGGTACTCAACAACGCCATCTGCTGTTGTGTCGTTAAAGCCATTAGTAAAAGCAAGTAGCAAAAAGTAGTATTACTATTCGCCACTAGATGTCAGGAAGAGTCATATTTTAAACGACAAATTTTTTTCAGTTAAAATTAGCGAGCGCATTTTAAAAATTACCGTCTAGGTCCTTTAAATTATGCATCTGAATGAAAATAAATATATATTGTAGACATGATGTCTTATGGTATATTGTTTCCATTATTAAAAGTGCCATCCAGATGTATGACACGAGTGGTCAGTGGGTGGTGGCTCGGGCCCACGCTCCGGTTACAGTACAGCAGCAGGTTGCTGTTCAGTGGGCGGGGTCATTGACCGCCCGGGGACTGGCAGCACTCGAACATTAACCTAACACCAACTAACTGACAGCTATTCTATGGAAAACAGTTAAGAAATCGATTATCAATGCTAATGCATTACCTCCGGATACACGATCCCTTTAGAAATATTGCAAAATTGTACTTTTCAATGTCATATTGGCCTTAGTTATTATGTTACAATAACGGTCAGATTCAAATATACAAATCGAGAAGTAGCGAGGCATGAAGCAGTTGTTCTGGCTGAAGAGAACCCGGAGGAGGCTGAGGCGGCTTTCCTTAGAGCTTCGGCGGCTGAGGATGCGATCCGGATGTGGCTGTCTAAAGGAATCACCAAAGAGCTTTGGCCTTGGCCGAACAGCATGCCACACATATGGTAATTTTAGTTTCAATGTTCATATACTTTATTCTACATATAATTTACTTTATATAACTCTTAAACGATAAGATTTGCTAATAAGTTGACAATAGGAGAGTTTTTGTTGTTGAAAAATTTGATAGCTCTGCTTACATTGGCTATACTAATGATTTAAGTAGTGTAGTAAGTGTAGTTTTATGTGACGTGTATAGACGGAGGAGGTGTTGGTCGAGCGCGGGGACCTGGCACAGTCTGAAGCTCTCATGATAAGAGAAGTGGTGCAGCATTACAAAGACTTGGGTTCGTTCGGAAATAACTTTATTGTATCTCTGAAGAATTCCTTTTAAAGAATGACAAAATGCTTTGTTAAGAACGATAGTTTTTATAAAATAGTGATAGCTTGTTACCTTCGTCTATGACGTACTAACATACATGACACTTTCTTCGACAAGATAGAGATCAATAAATTCATAAGCTGGATAACTTACAGCAGCGATAGTTTGTTAAATTTAAATAGCTGTGCGAGTGCAAATTAAACTGTAAGTTTGTTTATGATCTTTAAATTATTGTAAATATTTTGATTCACACCATTTAAACACGCCGACTGTGTTTAACTTTGTCGTAGGTATTGTGGTGTCTAAAGCCTGAAAAGTGTGATGGAAAGAAGAATCATAATGTAGTTATTTCGTGTACTTATTATTACCTACTTCTTATTATTGTCGGACGGCACTCGGAGAGAGGGGCGCGGGCGCGGCGAGTATGTACATTGTGTCTGTCTGTGTGTGCGTGTGCAGCGGAGTGTTGTTGGTGAATAGCTGACCATATTATAATCAGTGAAGATAATCACACTCTACAGGTACAGCTGTTAGCTGGCTCATACGACAGATCAACTCGAGCGTTTGAAGAATATATGGTTCCGTGGCAGGGACAATGGACTCACGATGTGTACTCTGATTTCTTTGATGGTGAGGTATTTTTCTTATTTTATCTGAAATTTTGACTAAAACCCATATTGAGACTTAATCCTATTGTGCTTTTTATTTTAATTTAGTGTTATGACACGAATATCTAAATGTATTGCAGTTAAAGGGGAGGGACGTGTGTTACTTGTTATGATGTGAGTGTTTGTCTTGGAGTGAATCAGACACTTTATATTAGAGGTTGAGGTCTCTGGGTCTGGGATAACTTTGTCTTGGAGTGCGTTGGATCGGTTGTCCCAGAAGAGACCCTGGGATCGGGATATTGGGATGCTTTACAACCACTCTGTGAGAGCTATGTTTATTTAACTGAGTGAAATCAAAAATCGAAAACATTTCTGCCGTTATATTTCTCAATTTCAGACGCAGCCAATGAAGGAGATGACTTATCTCATGACTCCAACCTGCCTCCTGGTGTTGACCAGCCTATGGAAGACAATGAGCCACAAGCAGGCCGTTCTGGGATGACAAGACATACAGAACTGAATACTTCTACTACCAACGAAGAGAATTTCATGTCCTCTCTGCCAATAGGGCAGTTGTATTGAATATTATTTTTACTAGATTCAATTCTGTTCTTGTTTTTGAGAATATGTATATTATATTTACTTTTCAGAGTCCTTTAAGTATTTCCAGTGTTAATATTATTTAATAACTGTTATATATTTATGTACGTGATTTTATTTTACAATTGTACATGTTAATTTTTTACACTATTCTTTGTACTTATATTATTTTGTTAAATTTGTTTGAAAGTAGTTTGTAATGTCTTTGTGAAGTATATTTCGTTTCTATGATATTTATCAATTTCTGTATATTAAAAGTAATTTTGATCCATAAGTTAATCTTTTTTTTTCTAATATTAAATATATTATGCAACAAGTCTATCTCAATAATAATTTAACATTTAGGTACGGTAGTTAAATGAAATAATAATAATAACTTGCTATATCTGTGGAAAGGCAGTTGGAACTGCTAAGCATCTGCTGGTGGGATGTAAGGTACTCCTTGACAGCGGTCAATACTCGCGTCGTCACGATAGGGTTCTAGAAGTCATACGTGAAGCGGTTAGTCTTTCGGTAGCCAGAGCGCAAAAGGGAATAACCACAAACGAACGATCAGTAGGTTTTGTGAGAGAAGGCACTAGGGCTACAAAATCAAACGTCAAGCCTTACTCCATCCTTAAAGCGGCGTCGGATTGGACTATAATGATGGACACGTATGAAAAACAATATAAAATCCCCGAGGATATTTGTGCGTCGGCCTCCAGACCGGATATATTTTTGTTTTCGCGAATTTTAAAGCGCGTAGTGATGATAGAGCTTACGGTCCCTTGGGAAACCAACATCCCCAAAGACCATACCATCAAGGTCAACAAATATTACGAGCTCACAAACGAACTCACTCGAAATAGGTTCGTAGTAGATTTGTACGCGGTAGAGGTGGGAGCGAGAGGTATAACAGCGAAATCTCTCTATAACCTACTAAAGGACTTGGGCTTGTCCAGAACTCACATTAATGCTTTCTTGGAACGTACATCGAAGGCAGCCCTAGTAGGTTCTTTTCAAATTTGGTTAGGTAGGGAGAGGAGCTTGGACAGTGGAGGTGAGCGTATAACGCGCGTTAGTTAAGGGGCCCCTTAAACCTACACTTGGGTCGCAAGTCCCAGGCACTGTTGAAGCTCCTCCCCCTGCAACGCGATGGACCCGGCACCCGCACGGTGAATCCATGGAATGCTGAGAAGTTTCGTCGTCTTTATAGGTACAACTTTATTGAATGATCTTTAAAGTAATATTTGTAACAGAACATATCATACAAAATTTTTGGGAGTGATAGTAAAATAGCTCCCTAACAAGTAATATACAAACAACAGTAAATGTAACATTTCATTTAATCCTCAGTTTCTGCACAAGGACAACTTTTCACTAACATCCATCCGTTTCATACCTTTTTTTAAAATATATTTTTTTATTTAAATTTAAAGATGCATAATGTTTAATCTTAAACCTAACTTTCAATGTTAACAATAAATTACATTATAAGAGTAGATAGCATAGATTAGTAGATGTTTTAATTTAATATATTCTTTAAGTCAATCCTAGGCCCTCTATTATTCTTAATCTACATTAACGATATTGTTGTTATTTACATGTTTCAGTTCATTTAAATAGTACAAATGCAATGATACTGGGATGAAGAAAAAAATTACTGATCAAACCTTCATACAAAACCATATTGACAAAAAGAAAAATATTTTGTTCCTACAACTGTATAAATAATGAAGAAAACCCATCTTGTACTTATTTGCTTATTGTCCCTCAGTTGATCCTGTCTGTACAAATGTTACAGAAAAGTATCAACATACAATATTCAAATTAGAATAAGAAAACAGTAAAATACTACTTAATTTAGGTAGGTACAGTTTCAGTCTTGATATTTAATGTTCATTGTTACTTCTAGTAGTCGTACAAAATGGCTGAAGCCAGTATTTATATCACAAATATGTACAAGCTGATACTCAAACCTTGTCATCATCAAATTATATTAAGGGGGTTTTATAGTTAATAATAAATAATTACAAATAATGCTTACAATATATAACAAATATTTATGTATATAACTGCTATATACCTAACATAAATTAAGTATCAGGTTTGAACAATTTCATCACGCCAATATTATTTACTAGTTTCAGTTCTACAACCATAATAATGTATTAAATAAAATACCTTTAATAAATTTTCTAAACAATCCAACATTTTCTACGTTTGTATGTATACAAATATTAATAGTATGAAAGATAAGTCACAGTATAATACATCATATGAGTCACATCATGTACACACACATTAGTATTTAATTGATAGCTTAAGACTTTGAATTTGAAGATTATATTTACTCATGTTATATTATGTTTTGTGTTTATAACAAACTCATTTGAAGGATGCATATACGGAGTCCCAAAGTGTTATTATCTTCATATATATAAGCTCAACAAGTAAAAGTATTACTGCTTCATAAAAATCAAAGACAATACAATACATCCACAATAAGTGTAATTCATTTCAATTCAACAATAATAATTTTCTTTATGATAAATGCGGTTTACATAAATATTATAAATGAAAACAGTTCAAGGTAAATCTATTATAACAAAAACTTTTAGCCCCCTCTAGTGGCATAACAGATACTATTCTTTTAAAAACTAATTATTCTACAGAAAAAGGTATGTATGATAAGCATAATTATTACATACAGAAATAAAACATTTAAGATGAGCAATATTTTATCAGATTATAAATAACAATAAAGTAATTGCATCGTATCAGAGAAGTATATCAAATAGATTGGATTAAATAAAATATTATGATCCAAAAGAAATTATATATCAAAGTTGTACAGTAACTGTTAAAGATATCGTTTGACAAGTGTTAATTCAATATAAAATAACTAAGTAGCAGACAAGTTGGAGATGTGCTGCTAGGCCGGCTGTGTTCATTGTTAGTTTACATCTAACACTTGATGATCAGCCGTCATCTCCTGATGGATGAATCTCAAGTACAGTCCAACAACACCATCTGTAATACATAATACAATATTGTTATACTTATATAAAGACATACAAAGACACTTACTTCAATTATTGTCGGTTTAAAATAAATTATAAGATGTTTAAAAAAAATTACAAAAACACGCTTATGAAATACCAAACTAAAAAGTAGCATATTTGTCATTATTATGCATTCACTTGAATATAAATGAATGATTAACAAAATATAAGTGTTTTTATTTTATTAATCATTTATTTATTTTCAACTCATTAATTCTGCTAACTACAGATGGTTTTGTTTTGTAAACCATTATTAATAGCATGATGACTGTTAGTGATTGCAATTATTATGAAATCCCTACTAATATTATAAATACGAAAGTAACTGTCTGTCTGTTTGTTAAGTTTTCATTCCTAACCCGCTGAACCGTTTGTGATGAATTTTAGTATGGATATAAACGAAGGCCAGGAAAAGGACTTGGGCTTCTTTTTATCCCGATTATCCGTTGACACAATGCCGACCCCAATCCCAATACTACGCGGGTGGAACCATGAAGTGGAAGCAGTTCAGGTTCAGTGGCCCTAGTGACAGAGAACAACTGTGATGTACACGCAGACGGAGCCGTGGGCAAGAGAAAGTTACTATTATAATTACAATCTTTTATTTAATTATTTAATCATTATGACGTGTCGGAAGCATTCAGTTAATGTAATAAAAATGAAAATATTGAATAAATGCACATAAACAATGATTCAATCTTACTATAAATAATAACAGAATAATATTCAATAATCAACAGTACATACCGTAAAACTATGTACTATCGTACATCAGCTACATACACTTCTCTTCATAGAAGGTTTCCTCTTGTCCGCAGACCACGTCCTAAGGCCTCGGCCTCGAATTTTGCGGGCAGCGGAGCGGCGGCGGCGGCGGCACGGAAACGCATACTGTTCTCCAAACTAGCGGGCAGCGGGCACCGCTGTATTCGAGGGTCGGTCCATTTGATTATACGCGTAAGACCCTGCCGCTCCCGCTGCCGCTCCGCTGCCCGCAAAATTCGAGGCCGAGGCCTAACAGACGCTCCACCAACAGCTTCTACCCTCATCTTGAATTATATATTCTTACGAGTCCTGGAACGTTACAAATAATACTATTTTTATAAAGACAATAACATTAATTGTTAACAAACTTACCAACTTACATTAAGAAGTCGCATTTTAGGGAGCCGTAAATTGTAAAGATAATAGTTAAAATAAAAAAAAGGAAGCCATCAAAACGATAACGTTAAAAAAGCCTGGGCCCAATGTATGTAACGCTTAGGAAATAATTCAAAATTCCTACCACGTACTACACAATAAAATAAACACTAATATCAAACAAAACTAAAAATGTTACTCAATAAGTATAAGAACTTATAATGTAAGTAATGCCAATAATATAAAATATAATAATTAGATATATGTAAAAAAAACACCATGAAGCATCAGCATTAGAAAAATACATCCATTACAAGGAACTAGGAAGACCGCGGCCGGCTGGCAGGAGACGAGGGAGCGAAATGAATGTTTTATAAATATTGATATAGTTAGTTATTGGGGATTTCAGATAATCAATTATTAAATGATGAGATGACATTTTTGAACATCTTAGGTTTAAAACCAGGATTAATGTTTATTAAAAGACAAAAAATATATATCGGCGCTACCAGCTTTAATAACGGATGCGACTTGAAAATAATTAGAGGCTGCCATCAATTCTTATTGAACCTCATTAGTATTTATGATTATTGTTAAAAGTAAAACGAAATCAAAAGAGAATAGAATTATGTTTGAATCAAAAAATATGACGTCTGGACTCACGACGGCGGACTCCGAAATTGGGAATTCAGCATTGATAATTCAGAGTTCAGTGAGCGTGTATCATAGAAGCATGTTATTATGAAGAATCTTTGAGAAATACAAGAGCATTAAGATCAATTGCAGTTTCATTTTAAA